ATGGGTTTCTAGGGTAAGTCTACCTCCATACCCTAGTCGTTTAAAACTTTTTAATCTACCTACACTTTCTAGTTATTGGGGAATTCTTGGCATAATATTCATAGTGAAATAATATCTTGAATGAAACAGTTTGTAGTTCTTTTCTCCTGTCTGAAATTAAATTTAATATCCCGATTCGCTTTTCGCCGTATATGTCATGATTTTAATTCTCATTCCAGCAAATTTGACTTATCTGACTCACTTTTCAAAATTAAAAAGACTTTATTGTTTTCTCTTAATAAATGAAAATGTAACAATTTATTATATCATAACTATAAATCTTAGCTCTTGAAATTTTTGTTTCTGTAGCTGAGCAGTTTTAGATCTCAACACTTAAAAAACTCTCTTGCCTTTTCTGACTCGGCTAATTCCACACGTATGCGGATTGCGCCCCTAGGGCGGAAGGAGAGTAATCGTTGGGTTATTATTAAAGAACAAAAACGTATTTGTGAGTACGGTTATTATTCATTATTTGCGTTCTTTTCATATTTAAGTTTAGAATGCGCTTTTATAAAAAATACATTCAACAAAATACTACATAATATAAGTTACATTATTTATTTTCACTGTTCATTAAAATATAAATATGTAAGGGTATTTTAATTGTATTATATTATTATTTCAAATGACTATTTTGTTTATTATTGTACTTTTTTTAAGCGTACTACGATTATATAAATTTGTATCGAAACAATTTTCTAATCTTTTTTGTCCTACAGCATACGCTTTTAACAGTATGTACATAATGCACTCATTGCTTTTTATCGAGACAATAAAGGATTTGTTTTACATTGAATTGCCTTTCAAGTATCAAAACAGAGAATGTACTGTTTGCTTTGAAGGAATCAAACAAGTGATATTTTTTGTGTCTTTTGCCTTCGTTGCTATTCAAGTTCACCACTTACATTGCTGTAAATGATAGCAAACAATGTCAATGCAATAGGTCACTCGTTGCTTTGGTGATATCAAGTGTACTTGTGTAGCACTTTATTATTATGTTAGTTACAATACCTTGGTTTTAATATACAGATGTGATGATCAGTGACCAAAGGACCTACTATATATTTTAAGTTTATAAAACATCAGATATGGGTATGGGTATTGAAATCTGGTCACTATTTGGTCTAATAACGAATACAGAGTTCTAAACAAATACGGTTTTTAACAGGTTTTTCACCTTGTGGTTGTTTGTAACTTCAAGATGACAAGACGAGCTGACCGGTTGCCACTGCAAACTATAACTAGAGTAACAATTGAGATATCCAGATGAAACCTTGTGCACATCTTCCTTGTTATATTGTTTTACAATATATAAATTATGCACAAACGAAGATATCGTTGTCCTTCAAGGTGTGGCAACTCACATCTAAAAATGGCTGAAATCGTTCCACAAAGTACAAGTTACCGAACATCAGGACTCCAGTGTCTTGACCAACTTTATACCTAAAATTTTGATTACTCTGTGAGAGAACTTAATTTAATTCAGATGTCATCTTTTCCTGATAACAACGTGATCTGGTCCAAAATTAAAACAAAAAAGCAGTACTTGCCCAACCTAATATAAAAGGCGGTTAATGTAAGATATCTTAACAAACTAGGGTGAGACATATTTTCAAGCACACTTTAGTTGAATTTTCAAACATTCTTTGGTTTAGTTCCAGTTAAAGCAATTTGCGAGATCTTTCCCAAGCGTTTATGTTGGTCAATATTTTAATGAAATTTGGTGTTGGCAAAACTTACATATTACAAACTTTTATAGACAAAACATATATTAAACAAGAAAACGTTAACTTCGGTTGCGCCGAAGCTATAATACCCTTCACAAAAACAAAGGCCCCTTACAAGAACACTTGATTCCGAACGTTCAATTTGTATGGCAGCTATATGATATAGTGATCTCTGATCTGACCAATTTCTGTGGAGAATAATTTGTTGCCTTAAGCAATAACTCGTGCCTAATTTCGTGAAGATACCTCGTCAAATAAAAAAATTTTCCATGCAAGCACTTTACTCCGATCGTCCAGTTAATATAGCACCTATATGCTATAATCATCCGATCTATACCATTTCTTTGGAGATTAGATTTATGCTTTAAATAATAATACACGCCAAATTTCATGAAGATACCTCGTCAAATGAAAGAGTTTTCCATACAAGCACTTCATTCCGATTGTTCAGTTTGTACGGCAGCTATATGCTATAGTCTTCCGATCTATACAATTTCTTTGAGAATTAGATTAATGCCTTAAATAATAATACACGTCAAATTTCATGAAGATTCGTCGTCAAATGAAAGAGTTTTCCATACAAGCATTTGTTTCCGATTGTTCAGTTTGTATGGCAGCTATATGCTATAGTCATCCGATCTATACAATTTCTTCGGAGATTAAATGAATGCTTTAAATAATAATACACGCCAAATTTTATAAAAATACCTCGTCAAATTAAAGAGTTTTCCATACAAACATTTGATTCCGATTGTTCAGTTTGTATGGCAGCTATATGCTATAGTGGTCCGATATCGGCCGTTCGACAAATGAGCAGCTTCTTGGTAAGAAAAAGACTTGTACAAAATTTCAGATCGATATCTCAAAAACTGAGGGACTAGTTCGCGTATATACAGACGGACAGACGGACGGACGGACAGACAGACGGACATGGCTAAATCAACTCAGCTCGTCACGGTGATCATTTATATATATGGTCTCCGCCGTTTCCTTCTGGGTGTTACAAACTTCGTTGCAAACTTAATATACCCTGTTCAGGGTATAAAAATTAACAAACGTTGTTCGACGAAATCGTGAATGGATTTTAATAAATTTTTTTTATTAAATCATATTGAAGGTCATAGACTTACTTAAATTTAATACTATATTTTACTTCGAAACAGCGTAAATTAAATTAAAATCATCCTCAAATGAGATCCATGTGATATAAAGTCAACCTAAGAGGCTAAATTTATTATATTGAGTTGATTTCGTTAAATCGAAGGATCGAAATTCATTTTATTCATATTCAGCGCTAAACCACATCATTTTTAAGAAAACTTGTCCACAGAATTTCATTAAAATATTATATCACATATTTGACCGATCTAAACGTTTTAAACTCAGATGGAAAGTCAAAAATCACTATATTTATGTATTTTGGCTGAAGAGAAAGGTCTGGGCTGATTGCATTGACTTTTGTCATTGCCCAGGTATACTTGGGAACATTAAAGCAAATTTTTCATACTCGCCGATATATATTATATAAAGCCAACTGGATGTTTGAAAATCTAACATCAGGTATATGGGAGATAGGCCGATATATGCGGACTAAAATCAACAGGAAGTTCGAAAATATTTGTATTAGGTATATGGGGGAGAGAAGTATTGACCCGTTTTCAATAATATATCTCAGATTGTCGAATATTTTCGGTAAAAAGTTAGTAATAGGTACTGGGGTCCTCATACGCGGTATCTGGAGGCTTGAACAGTATGGTCGGATTTTTACAATTTTGAAGCTAAACATAGCATACTTAATTTGCACTATTCGTGCTAAGTTTTATTCCGATATATTTATTAGTGCTTGCTTTGTATACTGTCAAGTGAAAGAATCAGATGGAATTTAAAAATGCGTAATAAAAGAAGTAGGCGTGGTTGTAGTTCGATTTCGCTCATTTTAGGGTACTACTAGAATGTCTGCATAATGTTATATACCGAATTATTGGTTTAAGTTGGTCGAGTAGTTCCCGAGATATAGGATTTAACCTAAAAGAGGTAATTGGCCTATTGCCTATTGCCAATTTTTACATTGAATTGTATAAAGCCCTTAAGCATCACCTTTGCTGCTTTAGACATAGTGTTTTGTTGAGTAGTATTTTGCCTATTTTACACAGTCTGAGAAGGAACTGTCCTCAGTAAGTTTGGTTATTATAGCTTTAGTGGTTTGTGAGATAAACTATTAGTAGAGGGACACACCCACTATTGAAAAGTTTTCAAACCATAGATGACTCTCCTTAAAAGGGCTTCCTGTACCAAATATCAGATTTGTATCTTAAATTACGGCCTCGCTGTAGCACCTTTTAACTTTTCGCTTAATGGCACTTTCGGACACGTGTACAAAGTTTCAATATGATATCTTAATTATTGCATAAGATATCGCTTGCACGGACAGTTACTTAGCCGGAATTCAACTCGTTTCTACTAACAAATTAAATTTTTTGAAATTTCACTGAAATATTATTTACAAGTCCGAATTTCCTGACTTAAATGACTAAAATGCAAAATAATGTTACCTCATTAATCATTAGTTTAAAGTAGAATAAGAAACGATAAAAATTAGAAACTACTCATATTTAAACAAAGTTTAAATTTTCGTTACAACTTGGTTATATCTGATACAAGAATCTAAAACTTTTTGTATGTATGTACCATATACATATGTATTATGATATAGTGAATCGTAAACCAATAAAAAACTCAAGGTTTGAATTATCTTTGTTGTTTCGCAGTTTAGGTGACAATATGTGTATACATGAAGAAATATACAAAGGGTAAACCTCTTTATCTCAAACTAGTTTCTAATTTAACCACGTAAGAGTTTACTCAGATCGTTGATTTAAATTTATTGATATTATTTAAAATAGGTTGTTTCGTAAAACGGCATAAACAAAGTTTTCGATTTGTTAGTTTGTAAGGTTTGTAAAGCGTTTCTAAATACATCAGTAATGTGAAATACTGCTAAATACACATATGCACATACATATGTAGGTGTAGTTGATCCAGGTTGTCCTGTACACCGAACACCTCTATTTGTACATTCAGTATAACTAAGAACCGTCATATGTGTCTTTCTAATTTTATTTATACATATGTACATATTTACGTACATATATGTATCTATATACACATACTTATGTTATATACATATTATATTGTATGTAAAAACATGTGAGAATACATAATTATTTCTGATTCCAATGGGTGCGCTATGTGACTACCTCTTAGTGGGCAGAGCAGTCATGGCATCATTCACAGAATTCAATTAAAGCAATGTGGTCGATTCCCAACGGAGAAAAATTTAACGTAAAAATCAAAACAACTAACGAGTGAAAACATTGTGATAATCTGTTTCGTGTGTTGTTTCTGAATATTTGGGGGTTTAAACAAGTGGACTTCAAAAAAACAGATCATATCGCTTATGCAATTGTATTTCGTTGCGTAAGTGCTTTTTGCGCGTTTTAATATTGAAAGAATAAAAAATTGAGTTATATTAACATATAGTATTTAAAAATGCATATTCATCCAAGTTCACCTGAATCAGATTTTGGCCAGACAGTTCAGAGGGAAGAAAACGCAGCAATCAAAATACAAGCAGGATTTCGTGGTTATCGCGTAAGGAAGCAGATGCAAAATCAACCACAAATCAATGCACCGAATTACTACATACAGCAAAGGCAGCAGCAAATTTCGGATCCATTGCATATAAATATAGAAAATAGTACAACACTACAAAATATTAACCCAATCACAAATAAAAATAGTTCTAAGTTTGAAGTAGAAAGTTCTACAAAGGAAGATCAATGCGCTACCAAAATACAAGCAAGTGTACGGGGTTTTTTGGTGCGAAAGAAACAGAAAATTGCTACGGATGCGGCAACAAAAATACAAGCGAGCTTCCGAGGTTTCAAAGCGCGGAAAGAGGCACAAAACTTGAAACTGAAATAAAATAAACAAAGTGTTATAATATAATATAATGAGTGCTAACTAGTTACCCCATTATATTGTTCTTACATTTTCTTCAAGGCTATTTTATTATTTTTAATCTAAGAATTAAACACAATTTTTCTGAACATAAAATATTCAGTGACTTCTAGGCTGATAGTAATTAGTTTGACGTCATTTAAAATTACATTCACATACATGAGTGCTCTCTTTGTTACTAAAAAGTTATTATTACGTTATTTCAATTGTAAGCATAAAGGAACCTGTACATGTACAAGTATAAGAAAAAACATTCATTTGTGAATTTACATACATATGTTACATGTTATGTACATTAAAAAAAGTGTGGAAATTATTTGATTATGCGCTCTTGGTAAATTATAAATAATTTACACAAATTTTAACGCTTAGAATTAATTTTCCGCTTTTCATCATTCATTTAAATTAACATAATACGGATATTTTTTGTGAAATTTTAAGAATATCTTAAAAAATTATGAATACTTATAAGTATGAATAGTTGTTAAGTTTGGCCGCATTGTAATAGTATTGCATTTATGTACATGTAAACTTAATTCTATATATGTACATATGTACGAGTGTATGGGATAATAATAAATTATGATGGTATATATTGGAATAATTGTTTTTAATATATGATAAATTGAACATGGACAGATTTAGGTGAAAAGGCTATTTTTACCTTAAAAAGGATATAATGTGTTCTATGCTTAAATTTCCAATTATATACAAGAACAAGCAACAAAATAGTTCGCCTTATACACAAATGCCATTTTTTAGAGTAAAAATAAACAAAACTTTCTAGTCAGTGGACATTGAAAACCTATAGAGTGTAGGTTATATTTATAATAGATTAACAGCTTAAAGCATTCTTTGAAATACCAGCGAAAGCCTTCTTAATATTGACTCGTTTTTAATCTGAACTCACAGGTAATGTTTATTCCTAACCATCTGTCAAATACAGTGCCATTGAGGTCGGCAATGTTCTTGAGTGAGAAAGTTTTTTCTACAAATATATTTTTTGAAAAATATTTTAAGACTTAAATAATTATTGCAGAAAGTTTATTTACCAATTTAATAGTTAAATATAAGCAATGATAATTATATATGCTAACAATTATTAACAATATTAGCCATATTTTTACATAAATATGTATATATTTACCATTATCAGTATTTTCATGTTAGGGCCAGTAAAGAATAAGTGAATGCAAACACGTCAGGTTCTCTTGTGACATCAAAACATACATAAATGTATGTGTTTTCTTAAATAGTACAAACATCAGCTACATTTAGAGAAATTATTGTTTAACTCTGAGACTTTCATTTGTATTCGGAGCGACTTCAAACGCGCAGTTTGTTCAATCGGTCTTTATGCCTTTATGTGTACCTCATACGACTGAAAATTAATTAAATAAATGATATCAGTCAAAAAACAAATAGTTTTCAAATTTTTGATATTCTTCAAATCTTATAAAAGAAGAGACGTCATTAGGTCTTTGTAATTTTCAGATTTATTGTTTCCTAGAATTAGATCTTATTAGATCTTTCCAGGCGAGTTTTTCCTGACCATCGAGTTTAGTTGCCGTATTTGTGGATCTATTTATATTTCCTCTTTGCCTCGCTGAGTTTGGGGAATTTCTCTTTCAGATATACATATAAGTCCACTGTCATCTTTAGGCATAGGCATCTTTTTATCAGACCGAGCTTTATGTCCAATGGTGGTAAAAGAATGTCATCAGGAGTCACAACATGATCATTTTTGACCTGGTTGTAATGCCTTTTGTTTCAGTCAAGCAAAAATAACAACCACTTATATGATACTTTGGTGCGGTCCAAGTCTTTGGTATAGCAAATGGCATATGTCTGTGTTCATGTTTAGCCCAACCTAATATAATAGCAGACTCGCACACGTTATACATTTATGTGGAACCCAGGATTTATCTTAATTCCTCACAAGAAATCCAAAAAAGTCTAAAAAATACTGTTCAATTCAAGATTTGAAATTACCACGCTGAGATTTAAAAGTTAATTCTTCACACACATAACAAAAAATGTTGGGGTCGTTAGAACACTTTCGTTGCATGTTTACGATGTAACAAACGTATATATGATACAAGTCAGTCGTATGCAATAGTTATACAGTCGTATAAATGAAGTTGTTTAAAAACAAAGAAAAGATACGTGTGTTACTCATGGACTGCAGCGGTAAAGCTATTGCATCGCATTTTTTATCAACTTATGTAATTATAATTATTTATTTATTTTTTATGCAGAATTTCAAGTTTTTTCTTTGATATTAGTTCAAGTTACACTTTTAGAGCGTGGTGACCGATAAGAAAACAAATTTTTTTTCTGTCGTCCCATATTTTGTTCTGGATTCTTGTAGATCATTATTCGTTTTCAAATTAAATTTTTTCAACCGCTCTGGTTTTTTATCAGCGAAGTTGATGTTGAAATCGTCAGCCAAGATAAGTGGAAATTTATTACCATTGATAACCCGATAGAAATACCTAATTTCAATTGTATTGTTCAACTCAAAAAAAATACTATTCCAAAATGTGGGGTAGCTGTTTACCAAAATAATAATAGTGTTACTAATATTATGACTCCGAATATTGAACAATTTATTTTTTATTATACTCTCGCAACATGTTGCTACAGACCTAACGGTTGTTTATTAAAACTAATCGAGTTAGATATAGGGTTATTTATATATAAATGATCAGGATGAAGAGACGAGTTGAAATCCGGGTGACTGTCTGTCCGTCCGCCTGTGCAAGCTGTAACTTGAGTAAAAATTGAGATATCTTAAAGAAACTTAGTACAAATGTTTCTTGGTACCGTAAGACGGTTGGTATTGTATATGGGCGTAATCGGTCCACTGCTACGCCCACAAAACGCCATTAATCAAAAACAAATAAATTACAATTACAGTTTAAATTTTTTTTAAAAAGTTGGCGTGGTTTAATGTGCATATTTTCTAAATCGCTAAAGCTATAATAAAAAATTTCACTGAAAACAAATGTTTTAAGCACCTCTATGGACAGTGTAAAACTGGGTGAAATCGGGTGACAACCCCGCCCAATCCCCACATAGCGGTACTGTCAAAAACTACTAAAAGCACTAAACACGCCAGAGACATTAAATTTTATCTCCGCGTTGGTAGCAGATGATTTTATAGGAACCGCATTCAAAATTAGACAGTGGGCACCGCCTACTTTTAGGAGAAAATCCATATCTTGGGATCCGCTTAACCGATATTAACCAAATTCGGTACATAACATTCTTCTCATATTTCTATGCTATAGTGCGAAAATCGGATTACAATCACGCCTATTTCCTATATAACACCAATTTAAATTCCATCTGATTCCTTCACTTTCCACTATACAAATCAAGCAAGAATGATTGTATCGGTGTAAAACTTTGCGTGAATAATGCGTTTAAAATATGCCACCTTGTGACTAAAAATTGTCTAAATCGAACTAAAACTATTCAAGCCCCTGAATATGTGGACCCCAGTGATTATAGTTGACTTTTTACTGAATATATCGGTCAAATTTTCAAATTCATCTAATAAAATAAATAACTGATACTCTCGATAATAGTATGTTTTGTGTCAAAAATGGGTTGAATCGGATCAATACTTCCTCTAATGTTAAATTTTGCCAACACCTGAAGGAATTTCCGGGCTTTGATCCTTGCAAGTTACGAGAATATAAAATGTTCGGTTACACCTGAACTTTCTTACTTGTTATTTAAATATTTATTAAACTCCATTATTTTATTTGTCATTAAAGAAATTGTATCTCAAATATAATTATTTTTGAATCACCCTGATCTTCAATTGAGTTGTTCCGCTAAAGATATGCGAAAATGCGATATACCTAAAAGCAGAGAATGTAAATTTATAGAGATACGCAAATCTTAGCTGTGCTAAAATGTTCATTGCGATGAGAGAACATAAAAAATGCCCAAATTCGAAAGTTCAATTACACCACATCAAAAAGATACCTTCCTCGCATTATAATCGAACTCAACAAACCACATGCTGCTTCCTCACGACGATGCTAAAAATCAGAAATTGAAGAATTTGTCTGATGTTCCCTTCAGAAAGGAGAATTGGCCATGACCTATTAGCGAGTTAAAATAATATTTTAATTTTTTTCATATAATGTACTATATATGGTATTAAATTATTAAATTGATATAAAATTGACATTCATATGAAATCTTAACTACTTATATGTATGTATGTAGGTATATATGTATGTTTGTTGACAAAGTCATCATTTGGTTTTTTTCAACAACACACTGTCCGCGCGAACTCGCCGTTATTTCGTTGGCTTGACAAAATGCACAGAGTCGTGTCAGTGATATGTACTCATAATATATTAATATGTTACTTAATTTGTATTGGAAAATACTGATGCATTAATGACTTATTTTCGTAATATAATTAATATATACGAAAATATATAAATACAAATAAATTCATACCTATAATCGTTTTTAAAATAAATTCGATTAATAAAAATATATCTGATATAATTATGTGGCAGTGCGCCTCTGACCCCTTCTTGCTTGCAATCGTTCAACTTGGTTCTCGCAAAAAGCAAAAATTGAAGAAAAAAGCAGAGAATGTTAATGAATAGAGAAGGAGCAAATGTTAAATGAAATCGTTTTGAGTACTAATTTGTAATTCCAGATGAGGGAACATCGAAAAATATAACTTCGAAAAAAAAAAACTACACCACACAATGTGCGAAATGCTATAAATAGACACAACGAATATTCCTAAATGAAAAATCGTTGCGCATACTTATTTAGATTTATGTTTTCAATTTCTATGATATGACAAAATTTATAATTATGAAAAGCCTTCTGAATTAAAAGGCTGTATTACCGGCAAAAACCCCAGAGTTTATAATAAAATAAACATTTTATAGGCTAGTTTTCCAAACCTATGTATGTGCGTTGCGTGAGCAATTGCTTATTTAGCAAAGGATAACAATAAAACGGTGGCTTAGCGGCCGCGTTTCCACTGTGGTGGCTTAGGTCGTAAGCGTGAAGGCGTTAAGCTCATTCCTATACGAACCTATACGTTCGAATCCTAAAACTCATGTAAATTAAATTTTATTTAAGTTTTTTATTTTATTAATTGGAGTCTAAGCATATCATAATTCAATTTCTTTAATAGCATATTTTACTTCCTGATACAATTAAAATATATCAGGAAAATATGTTCCTTATTATGCATATTTACACAAATGTGATAATCACACATACATTCTTAAATACACGTACGCTGATGCTTGCTTCTTCTTGCCCCGCACAAACAAAGACTTTTCTCGACACTTTTTGCTTTTTGCGAGTTGAACGATTGCAGGCCAGGAGGGATTGGGGCGCACCGCCACATAATTATTTCAGATATATATTTTATTTATGTGTATTTATATTTTTACGTATATTATTATTATATAACGAAAATAATTCATAAATGCATCAGTATATTTCAATACAAATTAAGCAACATATTAATATATTATGAGCCCTCACTTGACACGCCTATGTGCATGGTGGCAAGCCAACGAAATAACGGGAGTTCGC